AATTGTTGCTTAGACCTTGATTTAACTTCAATTTCAACTTTGTTATTAAGCATTATTTTGACATTGTTTCATGTTTAGTTGATAGCATGGAATTGGAATGCGTAAGCATTTAAAACGAAAAATTGTGATTCAAATTACAAAAATTTTTGATATTAAAAAAATGTTCTTCTAAAATTTTTTGATAAAAAGTCAGGGCGGCAATGATGTTTTTTCTCATCAACAGACAGTTACAGGTAGATAGCCTTTGTCAATAATAACAATATTTGTGAAACTGTGACTCACTCCAGGAAGACAGTGGACGAGATCCAGACCAGTCGCAGAGAAACAAGAATTGGACATAATTGCAGCAGATCCTTCCATAGGTACTTAGACCACAACAACTGACTTTCTCAGGCAACAAATAAATACCGAGGAAGTTCCATTCCTTCCACGTATGTAAGATACGTACAGCACAAGCACGCACTAAACCAATGACTTACTGAACACCGGTATAAATTGAGCAGGAGTTAACTAACCGAATACGAGACGCTTTTCCAGAAGAGTGCATAATAAAGTGATCATAGAAAAGGATTACACATGCACTAACTTGTTTACAGTTAAAGACTGAAATGTTTATTTATTTGTGTAGGATGCACATCAATTCGAATTTATGATAACAATGTTGACATTTCGAAAAAGTACGTTCCACATGTAATTGTCCTGTTGAATTCTTCTTTTATCTTTATCTATCTTATTGTCACCCTGTATTTTTCCAGGGTTACCGGAATTTTTAATAGTTACGAAGCAACATGTTTTCACATATTGTTAATTAGGCAGAACTAATTTAGAATGCATTGTATCACTTCCGGCAATGGATATTATTTTCAGGTCATCAAATTCTTGGTCAATAAACGAAATTACACCTATTTTAGAGTCAACTTATTAGTCATAACATAGACGGTTAATTGAATGGAATCCTATTGACTATCGATAATTTTGTTCATTATATAAATTGTTTGTATTAACACCCTGACTGAGTGGTTGATTTCATTGTACAGTGCATTTCCAGCAACGCTTTTGCTAGGTTGATTCCTAATGGCTTTTAAGTATTTGCGTCGAGTCATGATAAAATTACTCATTAATAGTCTTATGTTCTTAAATATGGCACCGCAAGTTGGCAAAAGAAAAACAATTTTGTGTTATATTAAAATATTTCTTCACGTTGCTGTTCAAACAGTTATAGTGATTTGTGGAATTTGTTACCCGGTTACTGCTTATATGGTGGAACCACATAACATTATGTCTAGAAGATTATTTCTCTTCTCACTTATCTTTAGCTATATTTCTGTAACTTTGTTAATAATTTGTTCTCAAGTTAAGAACGACATATGGCAGCAACTGTATAGAGAAACACGGGTATTTCAAAATTTCGAAATTCATACATCAAATAGTATTTTTGCTGATATTGCTTTGATTTCGTATCTGGCGCTTGGTGCATTTGAACTATATCTATTTTGTGGATCTCTCGCTGTCGTCAATTTAAATGAAAGTAATTCCAAATATAAATCGCTTGTGGGATATGTTGGTCCCTGGTACTATTACTATTACCATACATGTATCGCTAGTTTGATGCTATTGATGATTAACGAGGTAGTTGAAAAAGTAAGAACAGCGAGGAACAGTTTAAGACACAAATTCATGAACATATACATGGCTGAAGATATGTTTTTAACGTCTCGCAAAATATCAAAGTTGTGCAATGATTTATTTGGATACCAGTTTATGGCGACTTTTGGGCTGTGGCTCTTTTACATCTTAGAGCTTGGGTTACAGGCAGTGGTCTTAGCCAATCCGCAGAAATTGAACTCAGAAAATGTCCAAATTATTGTCTCCCTTGCAATATTGGCCATTCATGTCATTATGGCATCGGTAAGTAAAATAGTACTTTTCGATATAAGGGCGAAAAGTGTCGTTTTTCGAACGACGACGGCGTTTGACTCCCGAGGCGAACTCGATGGTGTCAGGAGTTCGAAAAACGGATTTTCACCCTCGTATCGAACAATATTTTTTCTTCGAATGAAAAACATAACACGAATCATAAGTTATAATAAATAAGAATAGCTAAAAATAAAAGGCATCAACTTCATATTTTAAATCCGTTTGTTACCGTTTGTAATGTAATTTTTCAAAAGCGTACTTTTGTATGCATATAAATACAACAACTTGAAAATTCAAGTGTGGCTTTCCCGGTACGGTGTTTGTAACTATAAGATGCCTATTTTGTATGAAATTTGCGCAATTTAAAAAAATCGTGTTTTGCTTGTGGCAACATCGGTGAGCGCAGAAAAATAGACTATTTAAACGACTTTGAGACTGAACTTGTAATGTTATAACGTTAAATAACTTGTAAAGTCATAATTTGGAAATTCTAAGTAAGCTTTAAATTATAATCAATAATTGTGGATAAACCTACGTACCTTATTAAAAAAGCATATCGGTTACTTTTTAATGAAAGTACTTTAAAAAATATAATAACAGTAACAGGTTCATTTTGTCACATTTACTTTTGCGTATATGTGCGTAAAAGTCCGTGCATAAAAGTAAAACAAATGAACAGTAAAGAAAAATGGCACTTTTACTTTCCTTCGAATAAAAAAATATATAATATAGTTAATGCATCAGACAATATCATATATAACTTCATCAACAAATCAGTAAACTTTTTATGAAACTCATAGACGATTTTATTCGAAAAGAAATATAAAATACCGAGTTTTTTTTAGAATTAACTTTTTATCTAATGAATGTACTGTGGAAGGCGGAGTAGATTTGTGCAAAAGGGACATTCGTACAGAAGGTATTGAAAAACTTAAAATATTATACACCCTTAGGTTGCATTTAGGTATTTGCTCTTGTACTGAAATGAAGCTTTTATCCGGGCGCCCGACAAATAGAGAGAGAATCTAATGAGTTGCCATGTTCTAGATAATTGTTTATTTCAGATTTACTGCCAATAATTAATATGTTGAAATCGAGCTTTAAAAAAAGCTTTCTTTGTACACCGGTACATTCGTGCATATGAGTGTTTGTGAGACTTTATTGGAAATGAAACTGCAAGAGTACTAAAAAGTAGTTGAAAGGACAGATGAAGAGGCGATTCTCGCAATTACATTCTAAGAGAAACGCTATCAATAAGAAATCGAATTCCACAGAGACCGCAAAAGTATGTTATACTTCTTATAACTATACAGGTTGTTCGGACAATGATTTATTAAATTTGTATGGGTGATTCTACACTCCAAATTAATGGTAGAAAGTCGTGTATCAAAAATTCGAAATCTGAATATTTTCCAAATTACAGCTCATCAAACTAATTTTTTTCTTTTTATTTTACTGAATATAAAGTTCTTTTTTGAAAAACTAGCTAAGGTTTTCAAAACTAATTTTTCGACATCCGCCGATTATTTAGGTAATGTCATTGTTGTCTTAATAACACGCATAAATGATTCAAATGTTATTAAAAAACTGTGGTACCCCATCAATCAGAGGAAGTTCAATAAAAATATAAACAAGAAGAATTCAATTTTCAAGATTTTGACAAACTTGTTTCATCAACAAAAAATACAGCCGTTTTTTAATTACTTTAATTTTTATGCGATATTTCTTAATTATCATTTCTATTTAGACACGTCTATTAGATTACGTCTTTCGTTACAGATTGATAAACAGTCTCGCAATAAGAACGACTTATTTATCAAAGGGCCATCACGAACTATGACTTAGAGGATATCCTGCGAAAATTCCAATAAGTAAAGAAATGAATTTAAAAAAATTGCCTTGACTAATAGCTAATTTCAACTATCGTTATCAAAAGAACCTAAAAAGGAGTATATTAATAAATTGCGGAACAATATTCGGAGAATACAAATATGTAAAAATTCGCTCTGATAATTCGTTTTTACAAATTGTCAATTGTATTATATTACTTGCAGCATGTAAAAAAATGTTTTTAAGGCGACACACCCAACAAAGAGTTATGAAGAGAAAGTGAACAGTTTTGTGATAAATTGTTCCGATTTGTTACACAACTCATGTATTGGTAACAGGAAAGTAATTGCATATATTGGCATAAGTGCCTTAAAAGCTCAAGTTTTGAGATATTAGTAAATTCGGTTTTTTAAATTCTGTTGCCTTTTAGTCTCACCTATTATCTATGATTCATGCTTAAAGTAAAAAGTATTTACATCATATTAATAATCAGTTTACACAGTTCTCGTTTGTGAATTAGTTTTCTGCCAATTATTTTTTCGTCCTGTTTTTCTTTACGCATCACTGTAAATTATTGCGTTGGGAGCTAAGCTATCAAATATTGAATTTTTCGTAACATTTATGAGTGCCAAATGTATCGTTCTATTAATAAAATTGTCTTTTTGCTTTTTAGTTTCGACAGTAACCTTTGTTGACTGACTGTATGAACATGAAATAAGAAATTTCTATGTAGTGTTGATGAGAAATGTATAATTCGTAGGTACAACGGATATTTAACTGTGAAAAAGTTTTCGTTAGAAACAATTATTTTACTGTCTGTTTTGAACACATTTTTTAAATGCTCCAAACAACACCTTCATATGAATGACAGCTAGTTCGATTCACCCTGTAGAAAGTGTACATAAAAGCAATCAGTGAATAAAACATTTGTTTTCACGTAGTCATCTAAGGTTCATTTCGCAAAATTACAAGGTGCTTTAGAATTTTGTCTGCTATTTCAGTTATATTGTGTTAAAAAGGTCAAATGAGGAAAATATTTTCAAACGACTCCGCCCTGTAATTTTGCCGCAAATTAAACAATAACAGTGTGAATAGGGCTAAATACTAATCCATCAAATAAACGTTGCTGTTTAAATGATCAATGTCAATATCAATTAACGATATTATTGCTCAATTACTTTTAATTAGCATGAGCTATCAAGCTAAATAATATTGTGATCAGCATAATATTTTCCTTTCAGTAACGCATTCGCTAATGGTATTAAACCACGTAGTTCATTTAAGCTTTTCTGAAATGTCGAGTCAGTGGTTGTTTGAAACACTATTTAAAATCTTGCTCAAAGTGGTCTACGTTTTGAATATTGTACCAATGCCTGACCAGCAGGTCAATATTACCTATTGCTTAAAAACGTTTATCTATTTTGCGTCATATACATTTTTACTGGTAACATCTGTTCAATATGAATATAACTTTAATTATGGTTTGTCAAAAACTGAAATATTTAACATATGTATAGCCATCACGTCTGTAATTTTGAGCTATTTAATACTTATGCTAATACTCTATTCCTACTTGCGAAATAGTTTATGGCAATGTTTTTACCAAAAAGTTGGTAAATTCGAATACGGTCAGGTTAATGAAATACTCAGCTTTAGAAATATAACCCTATTGCTCTTTTTCATCTTTGAAGTTGTTGGGGTTCTAGTCATGGCTCACTATATCTTCATCATTTATGAGCAAACTCACCAATCTGCATACAGAACAATATTAGCGGTGTCCTGCCCTTGCATTTCCTTCTGCTACCAAATATGCCAATGGACGGTCATGTTGCTATTCATCAAAAATATACGCGATCAAGTGGAAAAATCTGAGAAACATTTAGATCTTAAACAATTAAATGTTAAGATGGCGAAACACCTCTTCTTGGAAGCCCGATTATTGTCCGTGCTATTCAATCGCATATTTGGCTATCAGCTTTTAGCTACTTTCGGCCAATGGATTTTATTTATTTTGGAGGTGGGAATTCAGTCAGATATAATTTTGAACCCTGAAAAGTTCAATGCACATTTTGAGAGTCCTATTTCAGTTTTTTTTGTGTCACTTAGTGGAAGAATAGCTGCAACAGCGGTGAGTAATTTTCATATTTACAAACAGAATAATAGCTATTGTAGGTATTATTTTTTGACAATTAGTCATTAAATTGTAAAATGGTGCATTGATTAAAATAATAAATAATTTTTAACCGAAAGTAATATTAACACGTATTAACGAATAATTAAATTAACAAACGATAAAAAAATATATACAAAGCGGTGTAAAGTCAGATTCAGAAAAGTATATAAGACATAATGAGCTCTTTGAAGAAAACTTAAAGCGTATGCAAAATTGCACATAGTTTATCATAATATAATTAATCGCTTAATACATAATAATCATAATTAATCAAGGGACAAGTGCCAACCACTTAGAGGTGTGATAGAAGGTTTTTATGGAACAGGTTACAACGTTCCAGTTTCTCTTTGTTATTAGGTTCCAAAATGCGGTTAAAAAGTAACATGATCCTTTTAAAAAATTTTATGAAAAATTCGCAATGATGATGATTGTAGAAATAGTGAATGTTAAATAAAGACTGAGTTTATTTAAAACATAATTCTTAGCACTGGTAAACTAAAAACGCATATTCCAAAAACGAAAACTACACAGGGGTCATTATAAACGACTTAAAGGTAAAAAAAACTGATGGTTTTTAAAAATAATAAAATCGAATAATTTAAATAAAATATGCGCTACATGCGAAAAAGTTCTACATTCGAAAAAAAAAAGCTAATTTTCATTTAAAAATGTATTATCATTAAATAATAATTTTTTGCGTCTGCTTTTTACTAAGTCTTGTTCTTCGCTCGTTTATGATACCCGCTTTGGAAAATAATCTCTCGCATGGACCAGAAGTAGTAATATTCCTGTTTGTTTCGTTATGAAACAAGTTTGTTAAAATCTTGATAAATTGAATAATCTTCTTGTCTATTTTTTAACTGGACTTCCTGTGATTGATAGGGCACCACCGTTTTTGTTATAGCATTTGAATTATTTACGCGTGTCATTAAGTCAACAATAACATTAAATAATCTACATTAACAGTATTACTTTTTCTGGCTTACGAGACGGTTATATTGGCAAAGTGTAACTGCGGTTACAGGGTACACGTCTCGAACACTGTTATTTTATCGGTTACCTTAAATACCGACCATCCTTATAACTACTATATTTTGAAAAGCAGGCAACAAAGCAGGAGAGAGAGACCAGTAGTTTATATTCACATACTGATAATGTTAAAAAATTATTTGAAATGGAGAGTGCCGATAGATTTAAACTTGTCAAAATCCTTGAGACTTGGAATCCTAATAGGGAAGCAATCATTTTTTATTGTGAGAAATTATCGTCAAGAAAAACTATGATTATGCTTTTTAAGTCGATCACAGCAAACCATTTTTTTACAAAACATCTTTTATCTGAATCTGAAATTAAATCTTTATTAGAGAAAAGTAATCTACATTTTATCATATTTTTCTACCTATTCCAATTATAATTAGAACCCAAATTTTTGTTAGCCGGAAAGTGATCACTGCCAGCATTTTAAATTATTTTCAATATATTATTCTGCAATTTTGGAATGCCAGCATTCATCAATTCGTGGTGATTTCCTGTTTTCGAATCTTATTTCCCCTAATATTGAATTCGTTTTGTTTGTTATTTGCCTCAGATTTTATTTTATCTATTCAGACCACTTTAACAACCCCATAAGCACTCATCATATTTTTTATCAGCATGCGAAAAAAATAACTTAAGATTATAGTTAATAACTTTTTCTTTCTACTGGTTCAAAAGTATAATTACATTTTTTATTTTTGGATCCAGATTCAAAATTTTGTAATTGAAAAATTCATTTGACCAGTACATTTGTTTCGAGTTCTAAAGCAAGTTGTATTTTTGGTTTTACATAACCTGAATATTGTTCTAAATGTTCAAACCTGTTGAAAGGACGATCAATAAACCGATCAAATTTACATTGGAAGAAAAATGAGTAGGGGAAAATAGGCTAAACGATTTTCAAAAGCCACCAAGGGTAATTGGAAATGATCGACAGGCATCTGTTTTTTCAGGAATTAATTTTGCATTCTTGGCATACAGATACTGAAAGCCAGAAAATATAAAAACGACCACATGCAGTTTCTGCATGTTTTATTAAAACCGGCAGTAGAAATTAACTCCTTGTGTTTTCCATGTCGACATCCAATTTTAGATATAATACAAAAGAACAAATTTGATTTTGAAAACGGCTAGGTTTGGAAGAACCGAATCAAATTTTAAACCAATCATCATGCAAAGTAAAACAATTCAGCGTTCCAAATATATTTTATATATCTATATATATATTAAATGGAATAGCCTACTCTTTAATCCAGAATCAGGTTCTACTTTGAATTCTAAGTATTTTTTCAACAACAATTCAATTCAATAGTTATGGACATAGCGGCATTTAAAACATGGGAACGCAACAAAAGTAATCTCTATAATTATTTTTTTACTTAATAATAATAATAATAAATGACGTAATTTTAAAGGAATATTGAAACAAATGTTCTGTTTTTTGTTTTTGTTTCTGTTTTGTTCTGTTCTCAGATTACATTACATAATTCGCATAATGTGATAATATTTTTTTTTTTAGTTCGGACCATGCTCAATTGCATTTGCATGCGACTTGGTCACATTGGAGACTGAAAAACTACTGAATTCGTGCTATCAATTGCAAGAGGAGTTTGACTGCAAATCCCATGAGTATCAACAACTCCAGTCCTTTGGATCCTATATTTCAAATAACGGAATTCGATTCACCGCTGCTGAATTTTTCGAAATAAAGCGATCCACAATTCTGTCAGTGATTGCCACATCTACCACATACTTTGTAGCCTTAGTGCAGTTTTTTTAATGTGTTTCATGAGATAAGATAAAACGACGAATTCTTATTTACTCCAATTAGTACAACAGTAAGATTTTTGATACCTGTACACAAAACATTCGATTTTTGCATTTTATCTTCAATTCCGATGTTATTATTGTAATAATAGATGTTACTTTTAAGGAGAATTCAATTTAAGACAAAGCAGTAACATTTTAGTTTAACTTTTTAGCGTAATTTGTTAGGACTACTGAATAAAGTAGGCATTAGGCAGAATGTAAACATTTATTGATTTCATAATTAATAAGCCTTCCGCTCAAATTCTAAAACATGTGCATTTTTTGATGGGTTGTGATTAGCGTATTGGTAAGATACAATCGAGATGATTTCACAAATTTCGATACATCGATTAAAAATGAAAGAGTGGCAGAATGCAGAATAATATGCATTTGTAAATTATAATGAATACTAAAACAAAACATCTCATCTCATATACTTATTGATTTACATCACTTAATATATAGATATCTCTTATGTCGACTAAACGAACGCAGATAAATTGAATTGCAGGTATACGAGATGTGGATGGCCAGATCGGAGCCGAAAATGGTTGACTCCACATTATTCAGATATTGTCTCAGATTCGAGATTCATCGGTTAATATCGAGATTAGCCAAGTTCGAAGTTTTTCTGTAATTTACACAAGTAGCGTTTCTAGACTTCAGTTAGTAAGAACAGAGAACGGTAGAGTTTCGTACAGTCATTCATTTTATTTACTATTACATCCATTGGTGCTAACTAGGTATCAATTTAAAAAAATATGATTAAGTTATTGCGTTATTCTCGCATATTATGAGCTGTAAACTTACACGTTTGCTTCCTTGAGATCCTTGCCCATATTGCAGTTTCAAATGTTTTAAACTGTGCTTGGCTCGAATGTAATCTACTTTCCAGTAAATAGCAATCATCTCTCATTCCGCGTTGGGATGTAGCGAATCGAGGGCGATAAAAAGTAAATAGAAATTCCTTCGACCGTTAATGCAATTTACACGAGGCGTCACCTTCGCATTCTTCAAGCAATGATGTAAATAGTAAACGATAGAACAAGCGGAAAATTGAGGAATTTATTTACTTACTATTTGACGTCGTAGCTTCCTTGCCGCTTTAGAGTTCAGGTAAATTGGTTTTTTAGAAGGATTTCTCACGGAATTACTGCCAATCGTGTCTCAGCTTAGTTTTTATTTGAAAAACTTTGCATTAGGGCGCAAAATTAGGAACAGTGACGCCAAATGAAGTATAAACAAAACCACTTACGTCTAATCGAATAACTTTTTTGTTCTCTGAAACTTTCTTTGCCGCTATGCTATATGGAATTTGACAAAAAATAAAACAATAATATTTATATTAAACTTTCGATGCGCAATTTATAATGACGTTAAGGTCAAACACAATAGCAACAAATCAACATCCTATTGCATTCTGTAATATTGCAATATTCTGCTTCTGGTTATTGCCTTTATGCACTCAATTTCTAATCCAAATCAGTAGTCTAAAACGCAGCATCCAGAAACAAATAGGATTATTTTTATACATTGATGGTTGGATTGCAAAATTTTTATAAGTGAGTTTTAGTTGTTTTGGTGTTTCGGGTACCCAGAAATCGCTCTTAATAAAGGGTCACTTAGGAGCAAATCTTATTTTCGTGGATGAGCCGGAATCATTTTAGGTGGGTTTCAGTTAAGATCTTGTGATCTGCTGAGGGTAAAATTTGTTATAAATCATCTGGTATTTAATTTCACTTCAAAGTTTTAATCTCATGTCTTTACATTTTGTAATTCGACGTGCTTAATTGTTGAGTCTTGTGTTTAACAAGATATACATTCAAATTTTGGTACAGTGAGTTGCAAAATGAGTCAGATTTGCGCAGAAAATTACACCATATAGCTGCGAATACAGTTCTTGCTGATGAACCTGGAAGCAGTTGGCTTTGGAGTTTATTATTTCTGTAAAAAAATCATTAAGTTTAGCTCAGTAGTTAAAATGCATTGAGTTTTTCGGCGGGTGTTAAATTCGACAGGCACATGCGTTTCAATGCAAATGCTTTTGAAGATGGAATAAAAAGTTACAAAGGGGAAACTCGATTTTTCCATAGCCTATGCCCTAGGTGGACATTCAGCATTAGTAGACGTATCTGAATGGGCTATAAGTCGTCTGTTATACGGGGTGCCAATTTCAAAACTTTTCACCTTTAAAATCTCTCTCACATATTACAAATAGGAAAGGCTCGTCAATTTTATTTGTAAGGGGGACACTTTAAATTAATATTTGTAACCTGCTGGTTTAAAACCCTTAACAGGGGTGGATGTCACCCTTAGAATCTTAAATGGGAATGGGGTCGAGTGGCGCATCGTTTTAAAGGCGTTATATTCCCTTTTCAGTGGCATGGTCCTCCCCTGCCTTTTTCTCGCTATATCCATGGGTAGCACCGTTTCAAACTTTACTTGAAAATAATTATTGATAAATAAAACTTCGATGGTACCACGAGTACCTAGTTAATTTGCATACATTCGAAACCTTACCGCTGAAATTCTATCAACCAATTATAAAAATACGAAGAAAACAAGGTCAGCAAATTTCCAACAGCCATATTATTGTTGATTCAGTTTTGCTTACTGAACTGTTCAGTAACTTAATTTTTATTAAGTGCATAAAGTATGAGAATGGTTTATTCTCTTAAGAGCGAAAATAACTCTAATTATTGTCGTTTATGTAGAGGTTGGAAAGTGCACCCAAAAGACGACATTACAACATATGAGATGGACAAAGAAGCTCAACTTGAGGTTTTCAGATTATTTGCTACAGAGCCCACCAATTTGCGGACAGTAGCCGAACAGCCAGGAATATCTCACGAGACTGTAGGAAAAGAACTGAAGATGCATAAACTCCATGCTTACAAAATACAGATACTTCAGGAAACCCATGACGATGATTTTGATAGAAGAATAGAGTTCTGTGAATTGATAAGTCACCAAGTCAACGCCATCCCCAATATTCAACACAATATCTGTTTCAGCGATGAATGTTCATATTTTGTAAATATAAATGTTAACAAACAAAATTGTAGATATTGAAGTCACAAAAACCCGCACATTTTTTGAGAAAGGCACATAAAATATCGTCAAAAAGTTAAAACTTGGACTGGTATTCTTGGAGATACCATTATTGGGTCTTCATTTATTAGACGAAACTTAACAGGTGATCTGTTCTTTAAAGTGGTTGAAGATCTATTGATCATCTTAACCCATATGAGCTAGAAACACAAATTGATGCAGAAAGTAATTCAGTTTTACAGCAGGATTTGTTAACACTCCAGGAGGAGGGTGCTCGACCTCATCAATTTTTTCCGGTCCGACATTGGTTATACGAGAGATTCCCGAATAGATGGATTGGCAGAAGGGAACCAATTGAATGGCCTCCAAGACTGGAACTTCTTTCTTTGGGGACATCTTAAGTCCATTGCTTATAAAATACAACTTTCACAAATTACCGGTGAGGTTTTCCGAAATGTAAGGGAGGAGTTCGAAAACAGACTCTATTATTGTTCAAAGGAAAATGGACAAGCTTTTGTGCAACTCATAAGTGCGTAAATAGATAACATGTGTTTTGTTGTAGACATTTCTCTGCCGCAAATAAAACGTTATTTGTGTCTAATAAGACATTTAATAAATTTTAATAATAAATCAATTGTTTAAACTAGATATTCTTTTTGTTATTCAACGATTTTAACGGTGTATTCTACTCTTCTAATCATTTGTACTGCAAGGAGACCCAGTGCAATGGTTTTGTGAAAACACTAACTTGAAAACCAAAATCTCAATGCAGGCCAGTTTAATTGTGTCTGTAACTTTGAAACGCGATTATTCCGAAGTTTTTGGAGGAGAAAAGAGAATTGAAAGCCCTTTAAACCCATGTGCCACTTGGTAATTATATTCTAAGGGTGACAGCTACCTCTCCTAGGGGTTGACTTGAATTCGAATGATAATAACTGTAACGGTTAAAAATTGAATCTGAATAGTGGTCTACCTATCTGCTAACTCATTGGCCAATTTAGATATTTGCAAGTAATAAATGTGAATAATTACCATATATATTTACTAAACAAAATTGTCAGATTAGCAACATTATTTATATTTCAGTATTTAAAAAATTGTATCTCGCTCTCAAATACCAGCAGCCTTTGTCATGGTTTTGCTTGGCAACGTGGTGGTTGACCCACCTTCGCTGACCACAGTTTTTGATTGGAATGACAAAAAATCGGTCCCGGCAGGTGAACCACGCAACGAAGAGGAATCAAGAACCAACCAGCAATCAACATAGTGGAGAGCAGTCGACCGTTCGTCCCAAATTCAACAGTCGTCTAGACCAATTTGATCATCGAGTCCGCCATCTCAGCCCAATCTCTTGTAGATTTTTCCGTCTTCTTGCATTCTGCTAGTAGGACCATAAGCTGCCTCTTAGTTCCCGACTGGGGATTATAATCACGGGAATTGTGAATTTAATGCCCAGGGGCAGTCTGGATAAGACTGGAGTGAGAGCACGTAGAGCGTAAATTGATAGCACTAGGTTTAGCTCGGGCAAGCCAGTACAGAGCCATTTATAAGATTTCCTGTATAGATTTATTTCATTTCATTCACATTCATTCAATTGTTTAAATAGTCATTGTATTTAAAGCAGACGGTTAGAAGATGGTACTTGTGGTTGTCTAAGCACGCGTTTCTTGTTCTTGGTTAGCTTGATCGTGAATAATTCTTTAAATAAGAATAATTAAAATACCTGTTGCTTCGTAATTATTAAAATCTCCGGTAACCATGGAATTATACAGATTAACAATAAGATAGACAAGGATAAACGGTAAATTCATCGAGATTCGTTGACTGCGCAACGTACTTTCGACATGTCAACCTGTTCTCATAACCTCGAATTCTGCGGGGTTTGGTGTGTACATAAACAATCCATACAACACCAAACATTTGAATGGTTAACTGCAAACAAGCTAGTGCCTGTGTAGTCTCCTTATTATCCACCCTTATCAAGCAGCTTCTCGTATTCAGTTAATTAACTCGTGCTCCATTTGTATATCCTTGTGCTGTGTGTATCGTACAAACGTGGTAGAAATGTAGCCCTACCTCGGTATTTATTTGGTGCTTGGGAAAGTGTCAGTTATTGTGCTCTG